CACATCTGGTTAAGTGGAATAGATGGCCCAAGACAACTGTACTGACGCAGGTATTTAAAATTCGCTATTGATCTCCTCATTATGARCAAACTGAAAATATTTTGAGTTCAAAGTACACTGCTTGATTGTCTAGCTTCCGAGAACTGCCAKTGTATATCATGTCCATCCACTCTGACTTCAAACATATCCATATATGGTTATCATAGTTATATTGTGCATAATTGATAACTAAAGTTATGGGCCTAGCTACGTTGTTTCTGTTTCGTGCATTTGGTATGGCGCTACGATCAAATTTCTGGTTGGTTGCAATAGGGAGCGACATGCATGTACAACTAAGGTTATTAGAGATTGGAGCATAGTTTTTTTTGTGATAAAAATAAAGAATTATGTTGATATTTGCCAAGTCGAAGAGAAAACTTAACTTTGACTCGTGCTAAAATCATATGAAGTGAAACACGACCGACTAGAAAGTTAACTTGGACATTCTATTACCAGGAGAAACAGCATTATTTTTCAAAACCTTCCACTACTAGAAACTCTGATGGTCATGACCTCAGGGATGACCTGCTTACTACAACTCGATGGTCCAGTTTTCAGTCAACTAGTATGCTCATAAAACCTGGAAGACACATATCCCCCTCACAGCCCTCCCCCTATGCAATTTAAATTATCTATATAGGTAGGTCATCAGTTGCAGCACAATAAGGTTCAAGCTGTGCGAGTCTAAACTTTCCACCATCCATTGTAATGTACTGTTCGTTCATAGAGAACCTGCAGAACAAGATACAAAGAAGGAGACTGACTTTGGGGCGAGATTTGCCACAATTCGGACTCTCTTTTGACTCACAAAAACACAGGAAATTTCAAGAATCAAGCTAAAAATTGAAAGAATTAAGCAAGGGTGACTTTGTGAAAGTCTACTTTGGAACAAAGTACCGCTGGGTCTGCACATACAATTTCAGGAATCAGTAATGGCGACACTTGCAAGATTAGGCTTCGGATTGCTGTCATATATCTCTGCTTGCCTCAAGGGATCTATTTCTAACGGCGAAAACGACGGCAAAGAACCAAATCCTCATCAATACTTTCACAAGTGCTCGAGCGGCAAAACTTGGAAATCCAAAGCAATCGGCATCTTAAAGCATTACTTCAATGACTCTTTTTTGCAGAAACTAAGATCTTGTGCAAGATTTCCTTATCAAGAAGAAAATGTAGGAAACTGGTTTACAAAGGAAATTCCATTACCCCAAGACCTGTATCATGTAAGAACTATAAACATTTTGAATTTGACTGGTCGAAGGCCTGGGAATATTGGGGAAAGTCCTGCTATAATGGATGCTGACTTCTCTCAAAGACCGATAGAAGACGGTTTTACATTCTTGTTCCATGGCACTAAGCATGAATCAGCACAAGACATTATAGAGAATGGAATTCGCCTAGATAAGTTAGACAGCCGAAGATATCAAGATTTTAGCTGTGGAAACGGATTTTACTTAACGAAAAGCTTTGAAGAAGACCCCGGTGCAGTACATTGGGCATTTCACCGTCATAATAACAAGCAAGCAGTTCTGATTTTTAAGATCCCAAATGATGTTTTTGACAGGTATCGCGCCGATGCAGAGAGCTTCTTCCATAACAACGAAGAGCTGAAAACGTTCGTAGAAAAATTTAGAATACCTGGTAAAACAAGGAAGCGAGAGTTGGAGAAAATATTAGAGGAAGTATCCTTTGTGGAAGGGCCTCATGTAAAGATTCAAAACAATCGCTTTGTTTCTTCCTATGAAGGAAGCTACCAGATCTGTTTGCACAGTGAAGAGCTTGCAAATAGTTTTGACCGACATCTGGACTCAGCCATATTCTTTAATAAACGGTAACGCTGTTAAATTCTTTTCAATTATTGCATTCCTTTTTTCAAAAACGGAATATATTGCCTGTAAAAATGAATGACTAAATTCATATTCTTTAATTTATCTTCTTAAACTAAATGCATGCGTACAATCTATGCACGATTCTGCATAACGTACTGAACGCCCATTAAGATAGTATCATTTGGTACGATATATATGAAATGTCTCTTTACAAAGCGTATTTAAAGGTATTAAAATAACAAAGTTAGTTAGGCGGATGACTCCGAGATAATAAAAAATAAATATATTAAGAAAAAAAAAATAAAAAACCTGCATTAATTTATGTCTAGGACGAACAAGGCGGATAGTGAGCAAAATTTAAACTCAACTGATGTCTAAGACCCTTGATCTAAAGTCAACACTAACTTAGTTGGTATTATTTTCTAAAGTACGAAATGTTTCATGTTTCAAGTCTGTGGCAAGATCTGTTTTTATACGCACAATCATACTTAACAGTGCACTGTCACGCTTCATGAAAAAAAATGCATAAAAACATACAACAAAAGGCTTTCTAACCATTTCCCTCTACAAACTATGGTGCAATCAATAAAAATTCTAATTTCAAAGAGGTCATTTGCTGCTGTCGTCTTTATTCCAATATATCGCCTTTCATTCTAATATTATCTTTAGCAATAATCTCACTATATCTGCCAATGGTTTGATATCTGGAAATACTCAGACGCGGTAACATTTAGTTTATTCTGAGAAAAATAATCGAGATACTACTTCAAACATTTTATTTAATAAGTTTATTGGGTCTCTTTCTTTGGTTGGCTAACACGTTGCTATAAACGTTTCCAACCAATTCACTGAACCACCCAGGGGCAAGTTTCATTGTTCGATCGTTTGTACGTATTTCATTTCACAAGTGAATTCTTACCCACAATAAAAACTTTGATTTGATTTAATTCTCAGAAGTTTCTAGTTCAAGTCTGCTGATCCTCCTTTGTGTCTTACAAACCAGTATCTCTCTTATGGAAAACGCAAGTCACAATAGAACGAAGAAATAACGACTTTTGAGACTGCAAAAACTCAGAAAATCAAAAATTTAAGATCAACAAGTACCATCTCAAAACTTTTTGTAACTTTCACTCAACAGGCAATGTAATTTCCGATATCCATAACACTCACCATTATTTAAAATTGACAATTTTTCAGTGAGTTGTCAACTAAACCCCTAAGACAGAGGACTACCTAGGCACGACCACTGCGGGGTTAAAAATCAAATCTAATGAAATCAATGGTAACTTTTATGTTGAAAAATCATTTCACAGGTTTGCTTTCTATTTCAGTTTATAATATACATGTATCCAATTTTCCTTGAAATTAATTCTTTGTTTCTGACTATAAAAGACTTTGAAAACTTCGTGTTTTGAGGGAACAAACCCAAATAGTCTAGTCTTTCTACACACTAAGCTAACTTTCAAGAGGAAAATTAGTTTCGTCTACATATAAAAGACCTTCTCAATTACTTTGTCACATTTTGTAAGTAAAGTTTTTTTCGGTGAATAGATGACTGATATTATAAAATACAATAAAACTAAATGAAAGATGACGCACCTGTTTGATCTCCTTGTTATGATAATAAATAAACTGCTTATTGTGAGACGAGAACTGGCATTGTGTCATACCATAATTCAATCAATCAAGCAAACCATAAATGGTATGTAATCGTGACATTTCTGAGTTTTGTTTATATGGGAATTTGTACTGGTTAGTGATCATAAGGGAGCGACCGTACACAACTACGGGTTATTAGAGATCAGGAGAAATCGTATTATTATTGCACTGCCAGAACACTGATGGTCGTTCACGATCACGACCCAACTGAAATTGGCCGGCCCAATTCATCACCAAAACAACGGGAATCATATACTGAAAGAAATGAGTCAGAATTAGAAGAGGGAAAAAAGCAATATGACGTCAGCACTTACCCAAGAAGTAAGTTGCATAAAGAAAAACATGATGGCTTACAGTATTTCAAAGTTGTCCATATTCTCGGCCTAAGAAATTTGGATCATTTTGGAAAACTTCCTGGTGACGTAATACTGCACAATGGCACGAAAGACAGAATACTCATAGAACTGGAGAAAAACTATGAAGTAAAGGATGAGTCTATCAGACAAAGCCTGAGTGCACAGCTTTTGAATGATCTTGGATTTGAACGCCAAAGCGATGCTGTCAAGACCATATTATCACGATCAAATCTAGTACCAGATCATGTCGACCCCATAGATGCTGTGACGCGTTTTGTGGTAGATAAATTCAAGTACAATGAAAACTGCAAGACGGAATGGGAAAAGAAGAACCCATTGACGGGAACTTTACCTGAAGATGTTACTCAACGCCTTTATTGCAAAACTGCCTTTGAAGGGGCTAGTTTGGGGGTTCTCGGATACGACATAGAGTCTGTGATCAGAACCAGTATCAATGAATTACAAGAATCAAACCACGTCCAAGTTCTATATCATGGAACCGACATGGATAGCGCCTATGACATTTTAAAGGGTGGTATTGCTGTAAGCATGGGTTCTCAGAAACGAGACTTCAGCGATGGAAGGGGCTTCTATCTGACCAAGAACTTTGAAGACGCCAAAAATTGGGCATTTAGTACAACACAAAAGCCAGTGGTCTTAGTGTTCTGCATACCGAAAACGCTTCTCCGAGAGGCAAAAAAATTAAGTTTGTTGGGAGAATCGGAACGGAGTCGGTGGGAAATGATCGTCAACGCGAATCGCTCAGGAATCCTTGATTGGCAGATGCGACAGAAGTTGAAAGAATTTGAATGCATCGAAGGCCCTGTTTCTTCAGTATCAGACGGCATCCGAAGACCGAAACCCAATTCATACCAGCTATGCATAACCAAGGAAAATTTTGCTGACGTAATCAGCAAGTATTTAAAGAGGATCGTTCAGTTTTGCGACAATGAATGACTTATAAGTGACTTAATATCACCTGCAATTCACACCACAATATACACTGTATTTTATACATTCTGTTGTATAGCTTCTTTATATTTCACAATATATTTTCTATATTTTCCTACAAATCTCCCAGATAACGGAATCTCAAGAATTCGGGCCGTATCTTCCGGTCTCAATTCAACATAAAATCCCCCAGTTTTTCGAGAAACATGGCAAAACTATCACGTCTTTTACACTATATTTACAAAATATTGGACCTGATTTTTACTTAAATATATCAGTGGTCTGCGGCCAATAATATTAGCTTTCCAAACAAATTTATAGTAATCCTTACTCTTATTTCCACGGTTCGATCTATTCTTAAAATATTAAGCCTAGTATGAGATGAATAAGGCCATCAACACATTAATGCTTCATGAAATGGAAAACACTAGAATTTCGTTTCCAATGGGATTGTAGTAATCAATTTAGTGAAGGTATCAGGCACTAAAAGCCATTATAAATACATTCAGTAAAATATTTCAGACTGACGAGTTTAACAAAAATCAACGGTCAGTGCGAAGCATGCATGCGCTCACAAACTCCCACTAATAAACAAAATACTCGTTTTCAATTTCAATTTATTTACATTGCATATTTCAGGTTAAAGGTAATATTAAAGGAAATAATTTATTTAAAGCATTAAAGACTATCTATGACCATAAAGTGTTTCTATGTGGACGACAGGCAAACAAATCGTTCGATTTGACTATGTATTTTCATTTATTATTACGAATATTACCTGTCATTGCCTGTTCTCAAAAGCTTTGAAAAACGTTGGTAAGAAAGCGAAAAATCTAGTTCACGGTCGTAGCGAGAATCTGACATCTTCGAGACATCTGTCAGGCCGACCGAGGTAACGACATTTTGAAAGAGCCTTGGGCCGAAACATATCTTATAGCTGTGGCGTTATTTTTACTGTCATTGCTTACATGAGGCTGATTGATGTAACTGCTGAGTTTTAAAATTAAAAAAGCTGATTGTGCCAAACTAAAGATGACTAAGGTATTCATTTCCTAATTAACAGATTGAAAAAGTCTCGATCTCGATTTCATAATAAATTCTATTTTTAAAAACACCCTCTGGCTTCCCAGAACGCGCCATTGTGTTATGTGCTCTTCAGAAATATTCATAAACAGAAATATTGTAACAGGCGTGATGTTGTTGATAAGTAAAGTTATGAGCCTAGACACGTTTCTGTTTTGTTGATTTGTGGTCATAGGGGGTGACTTGCTTGCACAATTAAGGTACTATACTAAGCATTGTAGCAATTTTTCCTTTTTTTCTTTCTTTTTGATAGAAACCAATATATGAATAAAGGTTCTGTATGTTAGACGACTTTTCATTTATTCTTTTTAAAGAATGGTTACCAAGATCAACAGTCAGAGTGGCAAATGCATGCTCTCACAAACTCCCACCAAACAAAAATCTCTTCCTCAATTTCAATTTATTACAATACATATTTCAGGTTACAAGCGATATTAAATAAGCTGAATAGTTTAATTATAGTATGAAGATTTCTATGACCATAACGCAGAACGACAGACAAAGGCAAAACGCTTGATTTAACTATTGTTTTTGCGTTTATCATCAAGAATGCCCACCTGTCATTGCCTGAGCCCTATATATCTTGTAAAAGCACGATTAAGTTGGTTAAAATCATGACTTCAAAACGTTTTACACCTTCTTATAGCTACGTAAAAACCTTTGACAAAAGAAAATAGGAACACGCGCGAAGACTCAGTCCATGGACGTGGCGGAAACCTGTAATCTGGTTAATTCTTTGTGGAACATAGTAAAATACTTGAAAAGGCGTAATTTCACTTTTTTTTTCTCTATACATTTGTTAAATTTGCCAAAATCTTTGTGGTCTTCGATGTATTCATATTGTTTTACCTTCTGTCTCAACTGCTAATCTAGAATTCCTGAGCATTCTGCGTCGAGAATCCTCTTTCACTGACTCTGCTAGTATTTCAGTGATTTCCCACTGACTCGACACACTACTTTTGAAAACGCGAAAAATGTTTAGTTTTGACTATATTGCTTTTAGTCCAAGTATTAACCTTCGATTAATAATATGGATTAAGGAACTGAATACTTTAACAATGACTTTATTTCCAAGTAAATCCCTTAAACATATATTTTTAGTCTTTGGTACTTAAAAGTTCACTACTTCCACTTCAGAAGGCTTTATAGCAGCGACTTTGATTTCTATACGTAAGCAATTAACCTTGTCAACATATGGAGAAGTCCTTTGACAAAATCATTACCAGTCTCCTATTTTAAAACGGTCTCCAAAACACATTATTGGAATCCGAGCCCGCTAACATTGCACCAGCGTAATCACTTGGGCACATCGGTATATACTGGACAGCGGGATCCTGACGGGCGGGGTTAGCAACACGCGGTGACAACATTCTGAAAGAGCCTGGGGCCGATTCATATTTTATAGCTGTGTCGATATTTTGATTGGCATTGCGTGACTGAGGTTGTGTTCGGCATGGTTCCATAGTAACGTCATTTGTTGTCACGCTAGGATCCACTTCATTGATGCATCTACAGCATCCAATGCGAATGTCAGGGATGACAGTGTGACTCAGTAATTGACCAGAACTTACTGAAATTAAGGAAAAGCGTAAAATCAGCTTGAGGCTCTTACAACGCTTACTCGGGTTAAACATTCCCAGCAGTAAGAATAGACGGAGTCGTCCTTGGCCCCGAGGAAGAGAGAGATATTAGTTTGAAATGAATGTTAGGAGCAAAACTGCGACTTCAGCTATTCAAGATTCATAGGAGCGACAAAACGACATAATCGCAATCACGACATAACTTAAAAGCCCCAGTTTGCACCATTATGCTCTGCGCGCCTCTGTTATTGTTATGATTTACACCAAAATGCTTTTAGTATCCAAATATACCATATCAAGCAGCCAATGGCAGCATAACTCGGAGATTGATACAGAACGATAGATGTACGATGATTCAAATTATAATTACTTTAACAATTTCAATTTTAAGTAAACGATTTATGAAATTTTTTCGTTACAATCTAACTACTTATTAGTAATACTTCGGCTGTGCTGATAAGCA